TAGTCGTAACACTCAAGTAACGTTTTCCAGCTTTGATCTTTAATTTTTCCTTTTCTGGTATTTGTCATAAATCTTTTTTTGTGAATAATCAGAAATCAGCAACCAGAGATTTAATACAAGCTGGAGATAATTTGAGGTCTATCACAATAATCTTACGTATTAATTACGACCAATGCTAAGATTCAAAGAGTAGTATGTTGAAATATCTGTCTCAGTCTATGACAATCATGAAGAATACTTATTTTAGCTCTTTAACTACCATATCTCCACCAGTTAAACAAACTTCTTTATATCTTCATGCGTACATTACTTGTTATGCAAAATTGATATTTCTATCTAAACTATTTCGAAATCTTAAAAATTAGTTTCATTCATATACCGGGTGTTCCCAAAGCCCGGACGGAAAGTAAATTCGTAGAATTCCACTATTTATTAAACTTAATCAACCAATTTTTTTAGATGATAGATATAGGTGTGAAGTTTTTGTTTGCACGGACAAACTTCGCAAATACTGTTCAAAGTTATAACTTTCGTTCGAAACATCAAAACCAGTTTTTTTCGACCCACTTCGTAGTATCTCTCTTTCAATAACTCGATTTCTAGCGTTTTTTGTGACTTTTATGTCGGCCACATCTTGCGCCATCGTTTATGTACATTTGTTGTGGTATGTCAGTGCAAAATAAGTCTAATAATATCAAGTTCCAAGATCTTGAAGCTCTTGAGATCGGCTTTACTCGGCCAGTTCATCAGTCATCATTTCAAAAGTTAAAGCGATTTTATGTAGTTTGTGATCTTGCAGTTTGATATTATTAGACTTATTTTGCACTGACATACCACAACAAATGTATATAAACGATGGCGCAAGATGTGGCCGATATAAAAGTCACAAAAAACGCTAGAAATCGAGTTATTGAAAGAGAGATACTACGAAGTGGGTCGAAAAAAGACTGGTTTTGATGTTTCGAACGAAAGTTATAACTTTGAACAGTATTTGTGAAGTTTGTCCGTGCAAACAAAAACTTCACACTTATATCTATCATCTAAAAAAATTGGTTGATTAAATTTGATAAATAGTGGAATTCTACGAATTTACTTTCCGTTCGAACTTTTGGAACATCCTGTAGAACTGTGTTTCAGGTCTGTGTAAGACACCCATCTATCGCATTTCAAGTTGAATTGTTGTTTTCCTCTTCTTCGTACATGGCTTGATAGAGCATGAACTATTAATCATGGAAAACTAGTTTTTATTTCCATGGAATGCATAGATGTCGTTGAGCTCATAATGGGCAATTTATCCTGAGAAAGATTCATTAATCAAAAGTTCTCAGAAAAAGGACTGCTCATTTCATGAATAACTATGTTCACTCAGTGAACATATTAATTTCTATTCAAATTCAATGCAAAAACAGGCGTTTACGAAAAACGTTCAATCACGATCCGTGACAGCTGAAGTTCATCCAAGTGTTAGCAAGTCGAGAGTGACATCTCATGATATTTCATAAATGTCTTTTAAATGATATACTGTGTACTATTAAGACAGTTCTACTATGCTGAAACATGCACAAATTTGATTTCTTGACTTACTAAGTTCTCAGAAGCTGAGATATTCAATATTCTTTGGATCTCATACTAAACTCGGTGATCAAACTATGAGTTTAGATATGATTTCAGAAAATAATTGTAAAACACTGGGTTTCTTCGACTTTTGCTACTAGTTTAAGTTTTCAAAAATGAATAGCGAAACTATTAGTGTCAACACATACAAAAACTTGTGGAACATAAAACTGTTTACCTTGTGTAATGGTTGTTGTAGTAGCACTTTTTTTTGCCTTAGTTGTTGTTGTAGGAGTTTTTTTTACCGTGGTTGTTGTAGCACTTTTTTTAGTTGTGGTTGTTGTGGGACTTTTTTTAGTTGTGGTTGTTGTAGCACTTTTTTTAGTTGTGGTTGTTGTAGTACTTTTTTTAGTTGTGGTTGTTGTAGCACTTTTTTTAGTTGTGGTTGTTGTAGCACTTTTTTTTGTCGTGATTGCTGTTGTAGTAGGTTTTGCACCGCGCCGTGGCCGTAATAAATAGTTTAATGATGAATCTGTGACTTTCTTACATCTAGTTAAAGCTAGTTCACCGAAGCTTCCATCATCAAATTTGAATTCTAGGAAAATACTTGAATTATATGCATTAATACGAGCTTGGATATCATCAGCTAATTCTTTTTTGCAAGACATAGATATGCCACACCTTGCTGGATAAATTATATGAATTGTTATTTCTACAATTGAACGACCAGATCCAAACTGATTACACGTAGGTCTGAAACAGAGTTAGACAAATATTGAAAACAGATAAACTCTTAAAAAAATCACTCAAAATGAAGACGCACATTTCATGCTTTTTCCTTTCAAATTGATGGCGACGACGACGATCATAGACATTTATTTCACCATTAGTGATCACAATAGTACTGATATAGATGGATCCTGATTTGATACCATAGGCAGCTTCTAACTAGAATTTCGTTCAATTTAATTAAGTTAGATATACGTGATAAATAATTGAAATACGATTACTTTTCGAGCAATCTCATCAGTATTGATGGCTATTGTACTTTGATCCTTGTTTGGCATCCAAGTTGAGTAGAAGCTTTGCGTCATTTCGCCTGATTCTGCAATGTAAAATGAATGATCAAAATGGGCAGCCGTTTTTCAGAGTATTTGTGCGAAAAACTCGGTCATTATTCAAAAAGCTTACTCAAAGTTAATCAACATGCCAAAAAAAATTTGCCTATGAACATCATGAATCAAGAAAGAAGGTTCACGGACACTACTTATATTAGAAGCTGTCAATCTCACAAAGGCATCATAGTAGATTTTTATCATCTGCAGATCTTTCTCGAAAAGCTCATCTCCACTGTTGATAGTCAACCATCTGAACGAAACATGCATCGTAACAATTTTAGATTTATAGGAAAGATGTTCTATCTATTGCGATATATATGACCTTGCAGTTGCTAGTCTTATAATTGAGCTGCTTCAGAGCAATGAACGAGAGGCTTCAGGGCATGCAATAAAATATTCCAAGATACAGAAAAAACAAATTTTTCTGTACAAGATGCGCTATGCCAACATATTCCATGATTCAAATGTGAGTTTCATTGTCAGAGATAGTTTTGGAGTTCTAATTATATATATATATATATGTGATTAGAAATATGCTACAATAGATTTATTCCATAGAATTCAAAATAGTTATTGATTATAGGTAAAATAATATTCCCCCCCCCCCCCACGGTTTAGAAGCCCCCGGAGACTTCTAAGCTGTCCCCTGTCCAAAATTTCAGAGGGAACTTCTAATCAGTCCTAACATTGTTCAATAGTTTTAGATGGAAAATAACTTTGAAAATAATAACAATCACTTTACACCTGCCTATAGCATTGTTGTTTAAATTTGATAGAAAGAAACAGAAATTTCTTTTTTAAAAATTTGCTAATTATTCTATTTTATATCGACGTTATAAAGTATAAATCTTCACTACCGATATATATAAGATCAGATTGTTAGAAAAATTGAAAATTTGACATAGAACAAAATAAGAGCACCAAGAAGAAAGAAAGACATTTATTTATCTCTTTTCATATTAATAGATGTATTTATGATTCATTTCTATTCGTTATGGCTTTGTACAGATAGCATGACGAGGGATTAATTAAAATTGAATTAAGCATCGTGATTAGTGCATTAAGAGTTAAATCATATTCTCGAGATGACTTACATAGTAATGCACCATTCACGTCGCTGAATTCAAATTAAGTTCTTGTAGTGTTTACAAGGCCTTTATTCTTATTTTGTTCTACGTAAAATTTTCTATTTTTGTAGCAATCTCATTCAAAACTCGGTAATGAAAACTAATATGTCGAAATGTCGATATGAAATAAAACAACAAAGAATGTGAGAAAAAGAAATTTCTATTTCTTTCTATCAAATTTAAACAATAGTGTTATATACTACTGTTAAATCATTATTATTATTAGATGGAAAAATTCTCGAAGGATTTTAGGGATTTTCAGCAGTTTTAAGAGTTGTTCAAACGACTTTCTAAGAGATTTCAAGACTTTTATGCTGATAAATAAGAAAATCAAACAATTTCTTATCTTCAGATCTTGAATTTTGAAAGTTTTATGATGGAAATTCCAATGAAACCTTTGAAAAAGTTTTTAAAATGAGGGAGGCTTCTGATACATCTTCTACATGAATCCTGCTGGAGGAGGCCTCTAATAAGAGAGGGGGGTGGGGAGGTTACATTCTTTTTTAGCACTATAAGAACGTATAATTGAACCTTTTATTCGACTCCTACCCAAATAGACAAAAATTTGGAAAAACGCGTTTAAACGCACAAAAGGGAACCGCAATTGTGAGGCATTTGTGCTAATTATTAAAACCCTAAAAACGAGGTTTTTGGGGTTTTAATAATTAGCGCAAATGCCTCACAACCGCGGTCCCCTTTTGTGCGTTTAAACGTGCGTTTCCAAATCTTTGTCTGCTTGGGTAGAAAGTTGACGAGCAAAGCACACATACTAAACATTAGTGGATTCTCTCCGTATTTTCCATGAATAAATTCCAACAATATCTTAATCTTTTCTGATTTCAGTCAAGTCAGTGTTATTTTACTCTAGAAATAAATAGAACTTCGATTTCTATGAACTCTGTAGCTTTTACTTAGGGTGTACCAAAAGTTCTGATCACGACGTTACATAGCCATATAGTAAGCTTAAAAAAAACTTTCTTTCTATATAGTCTAATAGAGAAAA